CTGAGGTTGTAAAGTTTGTTGTTGCAACTGCTGCTGAGGTTGTAAAGTTTGTTGTTGCAACTGCTGCTGAGGTTGTAAAGTTTGTTGTTGCAACTGCTGCTGAGGTTGTACAGTTTTCTGTTGAAGTTGTTGGGATTGCATGGTTTGTTGCTGAGGTTGCATGGTTTGTTGTTGCAGTTGCTGTTGAAGTTGTTGTTGAAAATTTTGTAGTTGTATAGGTTGTTGCACTGATAATTGTTGAATGGTTGGAGTTACATTGTAGCCATTTAATTGATTAGAAGAATCTTGTGATTGTGACAGATATGGATTTGTTGTGATTTGTTGTTGTTGTTGAGACGTGAAAGTTTTATTATCATTTGTTTCAAAATGGTCTTGTTGTGTAAAATTTCGAGATTTTGGGTTTTGAGTAAAAACATTTTGTTGCCCTGGTGTGTTGTTGCTGTTTTTATTGAGAGTTTGTGGAGTGAATTGATTATTTTGTTGAACATGGAGCAAATTTTGCTGATTTAAAATTTCTTGTGGTAAAGATTGGTATGTAATTTGTTGATTCTGAAGATGTTGAGAAGGCAATAATGGGTATTGAATTTTTTGAGGATTATAAAATTTTGATTGATTATACATATCAGATTGCTGTTGTTGTTGATACAAAATCGAAGAAGCTTGAGGAAAAGTTGCTAGAACAGAAGCTTCTTGTTTTAATAAATGATAATCTTGAGGAATTTGTTGGCTAATTAAATTATAGTTTGGATTTTGAGCTACCTTTGTAGAGTATGATATAGATGCTATTTGAAATTTTGGTGATTAATCAATATATATTATATACATATATATTTATTTATATATAATAGTATATGTAATAAATTTAAAAATTTACATGGATAATCATATTTTTGAATTGATTCTTGCATAAGTTTCTCATAAGTCTTGGTAGACTGAATAAATTTACTGTGTAATGAGATCAGTTGGTCTAAATATAAAAAAGAGAAAAAAAATTTATTTAAAATATTCAGATATAATGTACAAGTAATATGTTATATATGCCATGGTACCTACCTTTCTTTTGACTATATTTTTCAATAACTTTAACCAATTTTGATCTAATTGGTAACATAGAACTATATAGTTCCTGTTAATTTAATTCGTAAAATGTTTAGTAATTAAAATTTAGAAATTGTCAAACATCAAAATTTTCATAACAATATATATAACCTGGATTTCTTCATCCTCCATGGCATTTTTTTTTTGTAAATCTATTCTTTTTAACTTTTCCAATAAAATTTCTATTTTTTGAGCTTGTGCAAATATTAAAGTTTCGACTTCAGCTTCTTTTTCAATATCATCAGGTGTTGGCTCTGACAATGTTTCCTAATCAAAATTTCAATCAACAACTCATTCATTGATTACGAATAAATAAAAACATCAATTTATTTGTTTAATATTTACAACATAGTTTACTGGGAAAATTCCTGTCTTGCCACGTATTTCTCCACGCCACCAATCTTTATAAACATCATTATCAATAACCGAAATGACATCACCACGTACAAACCCAAGCTCACCCGCTTCAGTAGGAGCAAAGTCATATAGTGCCTTGACTCTTTTAGCATTTCCTGTTTTTTTTGCTGGCTTTTGAGGAAGTTCTTTATTCTATATTTAAAAAAAACATTAATCATTTAATGGAAAATAAAATAATAATTAAACCTGATACATACTGAAGCAGAGATTGATGGTTGGGTTGATAATTTATTTGATAAAAACTGTAAAATAAAATTTATTATTATTGTTGTTGTTATTAATGTTGCAACATTTAAAATTTGTTTACATTTTGCGATTTACGTTTATTGACTTCATCAAGCGAAAGAGCTACGGCTAATTTAAAATCCTCCTCTTCTTTTTTTTTAAGTTCAGCCTATAAAATTGTTGTCATTTATCATTATTATTATTATTAACAAAGAAGCATACAGATATTAAAAAACAAGTACAAACTTCACTAAGCATTTTGACTAAATTTGGAATTGTCTTGAGTTAATAAATAAGTAATATAAGAATTTTTTTAGAATTTTTAATCATGTCATGTGCACATATTAAATAGGGAGGGATATCATTAAGATGGTCCGCCGATCAACAGTAGAAATTTGTCCGGAATAAAATCATGTATTTTTCCGCAAAAAACATCCACAAATTTGCGCAGCATCATGAAAATATCCAATTTTATTGGTGGGTTGGGTGCGTGTTATCCTTGTTTAGAAATTGATTTGGCGATTTGCGAATGATTTTTGCGGAAAAATACATGATTATATCCGGAATCCTATGCCCATTATTTTTTTTAAAAATATTTCAAATTAAAAATTCTTTCAATATTGTTATGTTCGTACAATGTATATATAGAGCTCAAGTCATATAAACCCGATCAATTTTATTCAGCACTTTTTGAAATCCATCACATGGACACACAGTGAACTTTTGGACTCAAACTCTTCATAGTTTTATATAAAAAATAATTATGAAAAGTTTGATGTAAAATATTTATTACTTAAAAAGTTATGGTGGTTTAAATATTAGTAACTTTCTATATTTTTAAATAATGTTTACCCTAAATTTTGCCACTTCTTCCATAGATCGTTAACTATTAAGTGATGATCTTTACCCAAAATTTACCTTTGATGATAAGTTTAGAAGATGATCATTCTCTATTTAATAAATTTTATTTCCTGAATTAGAAATGATATTCTAAAATTTGAAATTTTTAAATATTACAATAAAAATCCTACTAACAACTCCTCTAGTAGTCTAAATAGAGTTACTAACAATTTATCAAATGGTTCTGAGGATATAGGATATGCAATTGCATCAGGTGGTTTCCTTTTAGATTATTATAATTGGTATTAACCATTTGCTTTTATCTGCGTTTGAATGCCAGGTGCTAAATACCTTTACTGGGCCTGATTTAGTAGGTAATGGTGAAAGGTTGGTTTCATGGTGAACTTATTAGTTTACTAGGGGCAGTCATTTTCTTTTTTTGTGTAACTCGTGTATCTTCATCGTTTTACACTCACCTGCCATAAGTATTGGCAATTTTGCAGATCACTGGAAATAATTTAACAAAGTGAAATAAAAATAACTCAAAATTTTATTATCAATCACAATCACTTTTGTGTATTAAGCAAAAATCAATTTTCATAATGATTTCCATAACATACTTGAAATTTATAATGTTTTGTTTACAATTAATAATTTTATTACCTTTAAAAGTCAAAGTAAAAAATTTTTGAAATTTTCAAAAATTTTCAATTGATAACAAAACCTAATATCAAAATTGTTTTTAGATCTTCATGTTGTTTTTCACAAAAAATCATATATTTAAATCAAATGATTAAAATTAGAGAATGATCTGTTGTTGAGCACGCAGAGGTAATTGGTGCTTGGAAATGTGATGTATGCAAGTCAGAAATAAGCAAAATACTTGGAATACCATTGAGAACAATATATAATATTATAAAAAAACATAATAAAGAAGGAACTGTTGGAAGGAGAGTTAGAAAACGTGAGAATATTCCTAGAAATAAAGATGATTGTTTTGCTGCCCTGGAAGAAGGATAGTACCAAATTGACTTATTTCTCAATAAAATATTTGACCGCTCTTTACATATTAATATATATATTAATATATATATTTCAAAACATGATGCACATTTTTTATTATGCTGTTAAGATGTGTTAAAACTTGACAATTGGGTTTAATTATTGAATGAAAAAATGATATAAATATTTCCTTCAATATCATTACTACTTTATATTTTACATTTACATTTAATTTAAAATCTCAATAGTCATATAACGATCATTACATAAGTTTATTATATATATTCAAAGCATGGTGCACATTTTTTATTATGTTATCTAGACATGTTAAAACTTGACAATTAGGTTTTGTTCAATTGAAAAATTTTTACTTTGACTTTTAAAGCTAATAAAATTATTAATTGTAAACAAAACATTATAAATTTCAAGTATGTTATTGGAATCATTATAAAAATTGATTTTTGCTCAATACACAAAAGTGATTGTGATAATAAAATTTTTATTTCACCTTGTTGAATTATTTCCAATGATCTGCAAAATTGCCAATGATCAACTATGTTTTAAATCATTAGTTTCTTGCTTTCTTGCTGTTAAAATTATAATCTTGTACTCCGCCTTGTTCAAATTATTTCCAATGATCTGCAAAATTGCCAATTATCCAACTGTTAAAATTATAATCTTGTACTCCGACTTGTTCAAATTATTTCCAATGATCTGCAAAATTGCCAATTATCAACTGTTAAAATTATAATCTTGTACTCCGCCTTGTTCAAATTATTTCCAATGATCTGCAAAATTGCCAATGAAAATTATAATCTTGTACTCCGTTAAGTAAATAAATAAATAATAAATAATATCCAACCTTCAAACACAAATAAGAAAAAGTTTTCCTATAAATAATGGAAAAAAATCAACGCAAAAAGGAATTAAAAAAATCTAATTAATTAATAAAACAACCAATTTATAATTACTAATAAATTAATAACTATGAATAATAATAATAATAATAATAATCATAATAATCGTAACAATAATAATCATAACCACAATCATAGTAATTATGATAACCACAATCATAGTAATTATGATAACCACAATCATAGTAATTATGATAACCAAACTAATAGTTATTATGTTCCCATTTCTAATACGCAATCAAACATTACTACTTTTGATGAAAGCTCTGTTGATCTAATGGGTATTGATGATTATCCTGTCAACAATCTTTCAGTAAATAATAATAATAGTATGAACGACACTCTCCAAAGTACTAATAGTAATCTCGCCAACCATAATTTTGCTAGTCATAATATCGTTGGTGAGGCTTTAGTTGATAATATTTACTTTGGTGGGCAGAACTCGGTAAATAATAATTTGGACGCGCAAAATAATATTTACAACAACTTGACAAGAGATCAACTGATTCTTATAGCAATTCAGCTCCAAAATATTGTAAATCAATTGTTAAATTAAATAACAATAGATGCAACAACAACAACGGTGATATTACGTGCAATGAATATAAATTTATTTTTTAATTTAATTTTTTAACTCATATTCTTAATCTATATTATTTATTCAATTTGTTCTTTCATTTATTTTATTATTTCTAACAATTATAATTTACATCATATATTTTTTTAATAAAATAAATATTTTACTAACGATAAATATCTGAAGGTTTCTTTGACATTAAAAATCAAAAGTAATGAAATATATGCATATGAAAAACATCGGCTACCGTTTTAAAAAGACTAAAGTTCGTTAACTAGGTAATATTATAATCTGACAAGGAAATCCTATACTATTACTACTAGTATTATTATTTTATTTTGTAATAAAAAAAATGTATACAATAATTCTTATAATCTTATAATTGTTACTCGAACGTTTTTGACATTTAGCAAATTTCAAAAGATTATAGGAGATTAATATAAACAATGCGCAAGAAAATTTTATTTTATCCGTGTTAAATGTTCAGGAACTTATTAACAATCTGTAATAGTAATTTATTGATATCGGAAGGAATCAAGTTTTGATGTTCTAATAATATAGCGGTCAACCAAAGACCTCGTATATAATAATTAATAAAAATAAATTATTGTTTTGCACTTTTGCTAAAGTGAATTATAGATTACATTATTGAAGGCTTTGTCAACGGTGGTAATGAATGATAGAGTTGAGTTTCGATTTAATGATAAACTATCAGAATAAAGTGAAATCTGTAAGAGATAAAAATTAAAACTAAATCGAAGAAGGTCTGGGACGCCTTTTGATAGGTGTCTTGAAATGCTATGAAAACGGGACCTTAATCAATAATAATAGACAATTTTACTCAAAATATCGAAATTGTACTCGAACATGATTTCCGTAAAGTTTTGACAACCCAGAGCGGGGCTATTATTCAGAGCAGAGCTCCTGAACACACGTGATGCTTCAATAAGCCTTTCAAAAAAAATATAAATCAATAAAGAGCCAAATAAAATCCATAACCCTACCAGCTTTCATATGTGTCAATCCATACGTTATGTTTCTTATAAAAAGCCCAACCAATTCTTATCAATTATCGTTAAACTGGAGTTAATGTTTTCACAAAAAAATCTTTGGTTTGAAAAGCTGTAATAAAATCAGCCTATAGAGATAAATTAATTGGTAGATGTCGGTTTATCGTGTGTATTCGTTTTATCAAAGCATCGTCTTAACGAGTTTTGACTGTATACAGTCATGAAGCCGAAATTACATCATACTAACACGACAGATTTAAACATACAGAAAAATTAATCAAAGCTTTAAATTATCACAACTCGGTCAACACCCTTCCGTTTGAATAAAACAACTACCGTTCAAATCACTGATTGTTGAGATATTTTGGTTTACCATTTATCGGCGCCATGAACATTAAAATACCATCATCAGAATCCTCTCTTTTTATGAGACAATTCTAATGATCCCGTGTTTCATTAAATTTGGATCACTGATTCTCGAGACAATAAATCATGTGATATTACAATTTCAATTTCGACCATTTCGACTTCATGTATAGTTCTAACTGCATTAGCATATTAATATTAATTCGAAAAATCAAATATATTCATTGGCTATCATTTCAGACGCTCTGGTGATTCGGCGTTCTTTTTTTCGAGAAAGGATGTTTAGAATGATTGCAATATTTTTTATTTTTCAGTAGACTCTCCCAAGAGATTCTTTGACAAGTTTAAAGATACATCTTTATCTAAAGTAGAGATCTTAAGTTAGCCGGAATATTTGCATGGTAACTAATACGATTAAATACATCAAGTTTTCAACTCTTTTTCCGCAGTTCTTTTTACTCGCCGCTTCTTGCCTCTTTTTCTTATTAATTTATAAACTACTTTATATAATTTGTCGTGACTAAATCAAGTGATTTCATTATCCTTCACAAGATCTTGTACATCTTCCCTGGTAATCGGTGATAATTTAAGTAATAATAATGATATTATTTATTTGCTAAAAGAGGGCGTTGCTGCCGTCCATTCCTGGTGCCCACGAAAAATTAATAAATTGATAAATAAATAAATCTCAACTTATTAATTTTGATATAAAAAAATTGTTAATTCATTTTTATTAATAGCCGCGAGAATATTAATGAGAAAAGACGGGAGGGGGGTTTTTTTTTGAGAAAATAAATAACTTTATTATTTGTTATCTAAGCTATTTATTAATTGGTTAATAAATAATTATTTTTTTATCCGGGAAAATTGATGATTATAATTCCCTAAATGAGGAAAAATAGATCACCATTTATTACCACCTTTCTTTTTCTTCTTTTTATTTTTATTATCACCACCACCAGGTTTTGGTTTTTGAGGGGTTTGTTGCTGCTGCTGTTCTGGTGTAGATGTTGAAACAGCTGCTATTGATGATGATGATGATGATCCGTCAGTAACATCTTTAGAAGATCCGGTGCTATTCATAATAAAACGACATTAATTGTTGTGTTTAATAGATAAAAATATCACAATAATAATCAAATAATAATAACAACCGTTTTCCTGCAATGTTTGCGCTTCCAGTAGTGCCTATACCACCGATTCCTACAGAAACGCCTTGTGAACCTTTCATCATTTGTAGTTTCTTTTTACCTTTTACTCTGTAAGTGGATCTCTCATGTTTTGGTAACCAACGTTCAGGATCTGGTTTTATGGATGGATCATAACTTTTAGGAAGCAGAGGCTTACGTTTCCTTTTCTTCTTTGGTTTATTATTTGCTGTTGATGACGATAATATATTGCCATCGATCTTTTTAACGTAACTTTTTTTGACACCAGGTACAACCTTCTCGAGTGACTCGACATCAATATCCATTGTTGAAGATGTGATAACATCCGGTAAAGAACTTTCGTATTTCTCTGCCAAAGTCACATCATATTGCGAGTATGCAGCAACCAATCCTGCTATTGATTGGGTATCGGTTGGATCAGCCTTGACCAATTGTTCGAAATCCTGAGCTGCTTCGCGATATTTACCAATTTTAAGTTTAAAGGATGCGGTCTGTTTAAGAATCGAAGCACTTTCTTCGCTAGAACCAACGCTACTTTTCCAAAATTCACCAGCTTCCTCCAACGCTTGAATTGCTTTTTGCGGTGAACCAGCATTCTCGTAAAGCCAGACCAATAAACCTACATAACCGGGTTTGTTTTTTTCAGTGTTATCGTTGATCGAAGCTAAAAAATTGGAAAAAGATTCTAAAGCTCCGGCGGTGTTTGATTGCAAAAGTTGCAATTGTATTAACGCAAAATTGATTGGTAGAGAACTAGGCCGAGTTTTAACGCATTCTTGTAATTCTTGGATTGCTTTTGAAGTTTTCTTTTGTAAATATGATGTAGCAACCAAAATTAAGTACAAGTAATCATTCTCGGGATAAATTTGTAATAGTTTGCGAACAGAATCTTGACAAGCTGCATACTATATGAATATATTAATATATAATATGTAAATGATTAATTTAATTGACAAAATATAACTTGCTTTCCCTCAAAAACAAAATGAATAAATAATAAACCTTATGCATGTATAATGCTAGTAATGATTCATTCATTGCTATTGTACATTTCTGTATTCTAAATAATTTAGTTTCCAATGGTTTTGCATTGGCAACACGTAATTTTTTTGCAGAATCAAATAACTCGGTGTCTTTCTTTGCTGCCACCAAATTATTTGATGCGATAGCTGTTACTATCACATCTGTATCTCTAAAATCAATAAATTTAATAAATTTTAAATTGTTGAGCATAGGAAATTCGTATGTAGAAAATTTTAAATTATAATGAATTATTAACTTGCCTGAATTTTAATACATATTGATAAAGTTCAATAGCATCTGAAACTCTGCCTTGAAGCTGATATACATAAGCTAATTGTACATTGATTGTGGCCAATTCCTTTTCTATTTCTTGTTGACTTAATTCTTCTTCCTGAAAATATTGTCTACAAAGTTCTATTCAAAATAGTAAATATTTGTGCAAACGTATGAAATTATGTTAAATATTAACTAATAATAAGAAATATAGTATACTTTGAGATAATTTTAATAATTTTTCGGCTTTTCCCAAATTTTTTAGTCCTATATAAATACATGCTGAATTATAAGCCAATTCGTATGTGGTTGATGAATCTACAACAGCATACTAATATTAATCGAAAAAAAGAGATTAATTAAATGTTAATTTATCTGTTTTTTTTTCAAGCAAAAAATTAAAAAAAAAAACCTTTTCAAGTAAACTTCCTCCAGAAAACAATAAAGCTGCTTTTACTGCATTGAAATTTGTTAGAATGTCATTATAAGTATCCTCTTTCTAAAAATATTTTAAATATTATTATATTAATTAGTTAAATTAATTAACATTTCTTTGCTAGATCATAATAATAATAATAATAATAATAATAATAAATATTCAATGATGGCCAACTTTGTCTGTTTCTTTTAATAAATTATAATAAAGTTCTAATGACGTGGTGTAATCTTCAATTTTATATGCCTATTTATACAATTAATAGTTATTCATCCGTGATTTAATAATTACAACCATAACACACTTGTATTCAACAATGATATCAAAATTGCTAACCACTTGAGCTTCTAAATGTCTCAAGAGAAGATCAGCATTTCCCGAAGGTTTATTATAGTTTTGCAATTGTTCAGAGATCTCTTTGAATTGATTTAGTCTGTAATGACAAAAAATCTTTTGTGATAAATATTGCTCATCGGGAAAATCTTTTGTTAAAAGGTCTAATGTATTTTGATATTTGCCAAGTCTAATCAATGCAACAATTTTACATTGAAGTGCGTCTTTATCATCGGGACTCAACTGAAGAACTATTTTTAAAAGGTGAATTAGATGGAAAAAATAAAAATTTTTGAATTCGATGTTTAAAAAAAAAATCATTACTTTTATTAACAGTTTTAAGAACTTTTACATAATCTTCTTTTTTAACTGAACGTTCTACTTCAGCGAAAAGTTGCGTGATGGTTGTAGACTCTTTTGACGCGGCATTTTGTGCAGACATATTTTTTCCTTTTTCAGTTGGGAATTTATTAAAACCAGATCTAAAAATTTTAATGCTATATACAAGTTACACAAATTCATTGTTTGTACACACGCACATACGTAATTATTTCTGTCTGATGCGCTGATTTAGAAACTCTTGGTGATTATCAAATGACAAGTATATCAATATAAAATTAAAAAAAAATATTATATATTCTTTATTTTTATCATCTATGGCAACTACAACTACTGATCAAAACAATCCAACTAATTCCACCACACTCACTGCAACAACAACAACTACATCAACAACAATTACAACAGCATTTGTTGAACCAGTCAAAGCAACAACTATTACTACCACTACCTTAGTTGCTCAAAATCCAACAGCAGCATTAGAAAAATTTAAAAAACCTGATTCTTCAAAAGGTATACAAATCTAAGTCTAGAATGAGTTGATCCCTTTTTTTTATTTTTACTTAAAGAAAATTCCCCAAATCTATTATATTTTAATTCAAAATAGTTGTAATACGATTTAGAGCAATAGGTAATGCACCAATACTAAAACAATTAAATTATAAAATAAATGCTGCAAACAAGTTTCAAGCTGTGATTAAATTCTTAAGAAAAGAATTAAATTACAAGACTTCGGATCCTTTGGTATGAGTTGATTTTTATTTTTTAAATTTAAAAAAAAAAAAATTAGGGAAAAAAAAACTAATTAATCATTACTTTACATGTAAATAAGTTTGTATATATAAATAGTGCATTTTCACCAGCTCCCGATGAGATTGTTGCGAATTTATTTAAGGTAAGTAGATAGATGATTTTAAGAATTTATAAATTATGAAACTTATAATTGCTTAATTTTGAATTTTGAATTTTGATTATTTAATCATTTTTTTTCCCAATAATCTTCTTAGTGTTTTAGTACTGATGGAAGACAGCTTATAGTAAATTATTGTACAACTGCAGCATGGGGTTAAAGAAAGAGAAAAGAATGGGAATGAATAATTGACAATAGTAATGATGATGATGATAATAATAATAATAATAATAATAATATATTTATAGATTTTTTTTTATAAATATATTTTTTATATAATTTGTAATAATTAATAACATATTTTTCTCTTCAAAGGTTTTATATAGAATGCAAATATTTAATTTTAGATGTTATATATATATATATATATACTTCAGATTTTTAACAAATAATATTTAATATAGCTATTATTATTATTATAATAGTAATAGGTAGATATATATAATTGATATTTCTTTTAAAAAAAATTTTCTATTGTTTTTTAAATTATCATTTGGATATTTACTTTTATATTTTACTCTTTAAATAAATTTAGATGTTCACTTCCGTTTATTCATTCATTTTTTGATTTTTGTTATTATTGCCAATATACACACTTCCAATCAATTAACTACAAATACCTAGATAAAAGCGAGAACCTTTATTGTATTGTTTTTTTTTTTTAAAAATTAATTTTACAAGTTCTCTGCATCTTATAACTTACCCTTATGTGAGTTTTTCGGATCCTTAGTTTATAACTAATTTTATAAATTCTTAATTCAAATCATCAACCGACTAAATTCTAGTCCTAAGTAAAAGTTTCGCCAAACAGGAGAAATAGATAAAGCCTTCAGCAAGCAACATTTCGTCAAATGAAATCAACAAAATCTTTGATCTATGACACCAAAAGCACTATTGTATCATGTCTATTACAGTATTCATAATAAATAAACTGTATCGTCCAAGTAATAATAATAATACTAAGATCCATGCAGAAATGAAACCAATTTTGAAAAAAATTCCTGTCAAGTAAAAATGAGAAAATTTGGCCAGATTTGGAAAATAAACCCTTGATATTTTTGTTAAATTTTAATCAGAGCCTCCTTTCTGTATAGGTTGAAGGTTCCATCGTCAAGTGGCAGTGGAAAATTCTAGAATCTCTACTTGGCACCCTTCCCAATTGTGTACGATTGCGGGTTTGTAAAGTTCCCTAAAAATCGTTTCTGAAAGATAAAATGAACATCCAACATATTGAACTTAGGTGTCAGATTTCATGGAACTATTCTTTAACACTTATGCTGGGTTCCTTCCATTAACACTTTTGGGATGGAGTCTGAGCATAAGAGAGACTTCAATAGGTTCCTTGGAAAAAATCCAAATGTAATTTCAATAAAGTTCATGGCCCGCCGTCCTCCACCATTGACTTTCCATTACATCGTACCCTTTGGAGACATTAACCTTTTATTTTCAGAGAATAACAATAATTATTGTAATATTTTAATATCTGAACCTAGTTGTATTTGGATCCACCCATTAACATATTAATAAGAGCTGATGTCAAGACAGTAACCCAACCAATCGTCTTTTCCATTTAATATTGTTATAAACTAATGCAAGTCCTTCGAATTTCAGCCTTGCGAATTAAATTAATAAAAAAACCCCAAGTTCATAATAAAAACTAACCATCATATTTTACATTGTCTTGAGAATGCTCAAATATTTGCATATTAGCCCTACCATTAATCACAAAGGTTCTTTCCAAAAACAAAACAGCACACGCACCTTCTACCATTTGACAAACAACTGAAGTTTCTAGATAAATGATATATGTCCTCCACTTGCCACAAATAATTAATAATTTATATAATATATTATTGTTAGTATTTATAATAATGATAATAATAGAAAATTCCAAGTCATGTTAGGGTGTTAGACACAAGTTAGAGGCCTGCACGGGTCATCATAATTGAATGATTACCCAACCCGAACCCGTATAAATTTATAATTTGCAACCCGAACCTGACTTGTACATAAAAAATTCAACCCGAACCCGACTTGTACACAAAAAATTTCAAACCAAACCCGAACTCAACTCGTTTTTTATTAGCAATGTTGTAACACGATTTTATTTAAAAAATAACTTTTATTGCAATTGTTAATTACAAGAAAGAAAATTTTACTATAATGAGCTTCTTAATACAAGAATACTATCAATTGTTTGTGTATTTAAATTTGAGCAAAGTTCATTAACTGTAAGTCCAGCTGCACTAAACTCTCTTTCACTAGGTGCACTGAAACATATAATAGGCAGCAAGCCTTGAAAGTCTTGGATAAACATGTTGATGGTCTTTCCACCATTCTAAAATATTAAAGTTATCATCTTTTTGTATTTTTGTTGATAAATACAAATCAACTTCATCTTTGTCATCATCTTCATCATCACTATCATCATAATATTTGCTAAAATCACCTAACTCTACATTTGAATTTGAAGTTGAAATTGTAGTTGATAATATTGCTTGCATAGAATTATCATCACTATTACTGTCAGCATCAACACTATCATCACTAATTGTTAGATTACCACATTGTCTTTTAATTCCATTTTTTACCCAGATGGCATCATCAGTCTCCAATATTTTTAATTTTTCCATAAGAGGATTGAAAAAAATGGCTAATTTATATAATTCATTTAAATTCGGGTCAAATTCGGGTCATAATTGTTATAAATTACAACCCGAACCCGACTCGAAGTTATTTGATGTTAAGACCAACCCGCCCAACCCGATGCGGGCCTCTAATACAAATATAATTGGAAATCAAATTATAAAATCAATTAGCAAGGATTTTGTACCACATAAATATGTTTTTATTTAAAAATCGGGAAACTTAAAAAGTCTAACTTTAGAAAAAAAAATCGAAAATGATTTTAATTTCTAGAAACCTTGTCTATAACGTAACAATGCTATTTTTTTTTGTTTAATATGATTTTTTAAATTTATATATATTGACAGTTATTCAAACATTGCATTTCAACATCAACGTTAATAAATATTTTTAAAAGATGGCTCTGTTACATTGTAGAGACATGTTATGTGAGCTCAAAACTTTTTTCAGAATTAAAAATTCTTTTCTGTATGCAAAAGCGATTTTCTAATTAAATAAATAATAAATGGATTTTAACAAGTGGGAAACTTAAGAGTGTTTAGAACCTTATCTATAATGTAACAACGCTATTTTTTTTGTTTATTACGATTTTTTAAATTTTGCATTAGTATACATCCAGAATTATGATGAAAATTATGAAAGTACATTGATATCGATAAATATGGTTCTGTTACATTGTGGGTGCATATTCTGCAAGCTCAAAACATTTTCAAAATTTAAAAATCTCATCTATATGATGAGTTATAACCGTTTGTTTCTTTAATTAATTAATAGTAAATTTTGAGTTTATAAAAATGATCCAACAAAAAATCTCTAATTACTTATATCTAATACCCCAAAGTCATGTGTCCACTAATTGATCGAAATAAAAAAAAAATTTTTAAAAAATGGCAGCGCATGAAGAAAAAATTAAACAAGGAGTAGAACGTGCTAGTAATAAATTAGATGAGGCGAAGAAGAATTTGGAAGAATTTATGAAGGAGGAGAACTTGATGAAGTTTAAAAGGATTTTGGGGATGGGATCTTTAATGAAAGAAAAAGAGAAGTTGGAGGCAGCGGTGAAGAAGTGGAGAGATCAGGTGATAAAGCCGCAAGATAAGTTGGTTGAATTTAAAGGAGAAAAAGGTAATGAACAAATTGCATAAAAAAAATATACAAAAAAAATTATACATTTTATTTGGTATAATAGCTTGATCATAATTTAAAATTCAATTCTTGTTTAAATCACCTTTCTTTTTTTTTTCCGGTCGCGTTTACTTCGTCGACAATCATTTCGTCGACACCCATTTCGTCGAATGTTCATTTCGTCGAAAATTATTTCATCCTCGAGCCAGAGACCGAACGAGTTAGATGTGAGGAGTGTGGGAAGTTAGTTAAGAAATTAGGTGAGGAAAGCGGAGTGTGTGGGAAGTTTGAGGAGAAATTTGTTTAATGAAGTTTTTTTTTTGTGACGAAATGAACATTCGATAAAACAAACTTTCGACGAAATGGGTGTCGACGAAATGAATCAGACCCCATGTAGTAACTGCATAATATTATGTCCAAAAAAAAATCCTGGTGATTTCATTTGGATTTTGAATCCAAGGAATTTAAAAACCTGGAAATTTATTTGGAAACTAAAAATGACAAACTACATGCTTCAAGGTTGTTTGGGATGGTCAACACTCGGTGTAGTTGAAAAATTACATACACATTGGCCCTATTTCCCCTCGAGGAAAGAATCAAGGGAAACCAGTTTCTCAAACATTAACATTGTTATTCTATCCCCTGATCAAAAGCACATGAAGTGCGGAAAGTCTGCATTCAGAACATTAAATGAACCCTGTTATTAAAAGGTTGGGTGGGTGAACATGTTTCTCTGCTTTCAACAAATGGGTTTGAACTTGTGTTCAACTATATCCATCTCCCTTTTTAATCTCAGTTGGCCCTACTTGCATTTACATTTCAATACAGTGAATCAATCAATATTAGTAATATATAATGGGAATAAAATATTGAAGCTGTACTTAAGATCATAGGAGTTATTTCCAAAACAATATGAAAAAGAAAAAAATATAAATAAATGCAATTTTTGAAATATAATACAGGATCTTGACAATGAACTACTACAGGAAAACTTTACTAGTTATTTAATGAAGATCAAATTCCAATAAATTATACAATGATGTTCATAAAATAATAATAACATGTTGTTTATAAATTAGTTCACATGACCACCCCAATATAAAATTGATTAAAGATATTTTTATGTGATGCTTTAAGTAAAGAAAAGTTCAAATGAATCTTTGAAGAAAGATGCTAATTTATTTCTGATTGACTTCCTTATTTTTTTATCAACAGCTTCATTATTACGATTAATAATACCATTATTATTATTATCTTCATGTTCCTTAAATTTTATTCCTTTTAGATCTTCTCATAAATAAAACAATACTAACAACTAAAGCGATGGCAAAGACTACAGCTATAGCTGATCCACCAACAATTATACCTATTCCTACGCTACTTTCACCAGTTTCTGTTGAAGTTTCAGTTACTGATGAAGTATCAGTTCCTGGTGAAATACTAGGAGTGGTAGTATTGGTGGTAACCGATGGAGTGGGAGTGGGAGGAACATATGTGTCCAACCATTTATAATTATTTTTGTCATCAATATCCAATATTAAAATATTTGACTTGGATGGATTATCTAGACTCAGACCTATTATTAATAAAAGATTTAGTTTCTTTTGATTAGCTAGTTTAATTTTCACATATGTGATTGCAAATTCATTTTTACAACATTACCAAATGCAATTATCATATTATTTCCATACAAATTTGAAGTATGACCATAATGTACTCCAGTCATTGGATAATTAATATTTTTTGGAATTGTCCATTGAAAAGGATTTTGTGTTGTGTCTAATATTGCTAATTTGTCTACTGTTGCACCCTTACCACCATAGACAATTATTCTTCCATCAGGTACTAAACAACAAATGATAAACATTAATATTGAATAATTAAATTTATAATAATAGTATTAACATTGATTCTTACCTAATACTGATGAATGTCCGATTCGTGGAAGTGGATTACCACCAGCTGTTGCCTAATATAACAAAATCTATTAATATTGTTTATTATTAAAATATGATTATGAATAATAATAATAAAACCTACAACTGTAGACCATTGACTTGTTTTAATATTATACTATATTTATAAATATCATTATAATTTTGAAATTTAAATAAATAATAATAATATTGTTATTATTATGTTACCTCCATAAGTGATCCACCTATATAAATAATCTTTTCATTACTCAATAGATGACAAGTGTATTCAAGCGGACTTAGAACTGACCCTAGGTCCTTAGTTGGTTTTGCATTTGGATTTGGATTTGGAGTTGATTTTAATTTTTCAAATGATAAATTGTTTGTGTTGAATTTATATATTGTACCTTTAGGTACTGTTATTGTACCTTTAGGTGCTGTTATTATACCTGTTATATAAGTATTCCCATTATTATCTTGTGTATACCTTGTTCCCTCACCCAGAATAATATCGCTTAATTGTAATTGACCAACAAGATTTTTTGGAGTCCATTTATCAAATAAACTTGTATTTATAGAATAAACCATAGATTTTCCACCTCCACCTATAAGATATAGTGTATCATTATTAGCTCCTCCTAATGCAAGAGATGCTAATACAACTGGAGGTGTCATTGGTTTCGTATCAATTGGTTTTAATGGTAATGTTTGATTGAGTGAAAATTGTGTGGATAAATCTAGGTAAATAGCATCCTTAGTACCTCCTTCAGTTATTCCTCCAAAAAAATAGAGTTTATTATTTAATATAATTGAACTATGATGGTATAATTGACCAGACACCAAATTATCTAAAAATATTAATTTTAATATCAATAATATTAATAAACAAACATAATTTATTGATTTAAGCATTGTTTCTTTTTTAAATATAGTTTTAGAATTTTTAAGATAAAACTTATCTGTTATTATATCCATCCAAATTTTTTTTACTTACCATTTGTTTTTTCACAAAATGATATTCTAAAAAAATAATCTTTGTGTAATTAAAGTTTTGTTAGAATCTTCAAATTCTTCATCGTTGTTTGCATGAAAGCAAGTTAATTTAAAGGAACCGCCCATCATCAGGTGGATAAAAGGAGGATCACTAGTAGTATTAAGATAATAATTGGTACCTCTAATACTAAGTTGAGGACTTTATGACATTAGTGCATCATTTACGGGTGACTAGAGCTACAGTCATAATAATAATATTAATCAACATCCAAATACGGACATCATTCAGATAACAAGCTTACGTATGAACATGATCATTAAAATTGAATATTCAAACCATTTTTAAACACATAATAAAAAATCATTTTTATTGAAATCTCTTGGCCAAAATATTTATTTTCTCGCTTCAAAAAAAAAAAAATCAATTGTTCATAATCTTCAACGACATATGAAAATACACACACATCTTTAATAAACGTCATGTTGTCTTGAAATTTTTGTATAAACAACAAATCCTTGAAAAGTTAAGCCCAAAATGTCATTTTAACTGATAGTCAATGTGAAGAAACCATCAGCCTTTATAAAAAACAATGTATCCAACAGAATTTTTGTCACGCACTATTAAATAAAGGACAGCTTTACTGAAAATCTTTACTAAAAAAAGCAACGAGTATTCGAATAATTTTATGGGTTCGCATGATTCGAACATTCGAATATTTTTATGGCCCCTACAATTCGAATGTTCATTCGAATTGATTCGAACCATTTCTGGTTCGGACCAGTAAGCTCTAGACATTACTATCGATATCTATTTATTTAGTTGAATGAATTTGTCACTCACTAAGAATAATCTCTTTATTGCCACCACCATAATTATTATCATCACCATTGGACAAATTTTTCAAAGTGTAAAAAACAAAAATAACAATAACTGATAATAACGATTCTTTAACTATAAATATAAATCTCGGCTTATTTTTATGTAACACACTGTATGCAGGTCAGCCTCGCACTCAATATTTAATTTTACTTCTTTCTTTCTTATCAACAATCTCATTATTAACCTAATTGTCATTATCATGATTAACAATACTATTGTTGTTGTTGTTTCAAAATCTTTTTGTCATAAGAATGATTATCTGAATCAACTTTTCTTTTTTCTTTCTATCATTAATGTTATCACCACCAGATTTTAATAGTTGTTGTTGACCTTTTAAAACTTGCAGAATAACCTTCCATTTTCATTATGATTAAACAATTAAATTTATAATAATAGTGTTAATTACTGAAGAATATCCAGTTCGATTAGATTAGAAGAAGTCGTATCACCAACCGTTTCCTAATATAACAAAAATCTTTACCATTAAAAATATAACCATTCATAATAATGATAAACTTACAAACTGTATTTTCTTTAATATTATACAAGTTTAATGATAATTTATAAATTAATTGTTAATATTATGTTACCTTAGCCATAAGTGATCCTCCCATATAAATAATGCTTTCATTATTCAATAGATGACAAGTGCAGGCAGGCAAGTATAGGTGGACCATCATTTATTGGGTTTAATGCTACAATTGACAAAATGTTAGTGTTGAATTTATATATTCTATCTCTGCCTGTCTCCATTATCATCCTGTGTTCACATCATCAACTAACTTCAAAGGTTTTTGTCAAATAAGCTTGTATTTATTGAATAAACTATAGATCCATAATCTGTACTACCAAGGATTGCAAGACCAGTCATAACATAAAGTGTACGTAGCTCCTCCTAACACAAGTGATGCTTTCCAAAATCCAGGTATTACTAACTTTGTAAAAAATACATTTTTCTGGTAATGTCTGATCGATCTAAATAGATAGTTCGATCTGTGTATATTCATAAATTTTGATGCATCAAATATTTGTAATTAACTAAAAATATAAATTAAAAATTAATAATTTTTAATAAACAATCATAATTTGAAATATTCAAGATAATAATTGTTTATTCGAATATCTGTTGTGTAAATTTTGTTGATTTCACAAAATAAATGATGTTGCTAAAATTTCAAATTCTTATAATTATAATATTAAGGGTAAAATATAACACATCGTAATTAGCATATATATTAATATTAATATATTAAAATAAAATTCAGTTTATTTATATACAAAATAATAAAACTCGTTAAAAAATTCAGATTTTGCCAATGTAAAAAACGATTAATTAAATGAAAAAAATATTATCAACTAACTAATTAACTAAAAAAAAAAAAAATAAAACCGAAAATTTTATTTTTTTACTCGAATAAAAAACTATTTAAAAAAACGATAAAATTTATAGCCAAAATAACCAAATTAATTGATAATTAACTATTGTCCCATCGTCTTCACTCCTTCTATCTCATCATCATATACATTTTTCTTGAGAGTTCTACCTACACGGTGAACCTTTAAATGTCTTCGCATGTTACTAAGCACTGAAAATCTTCTTCCGCATCCATGTTCAGTGCATTGGTAAGGTTTTTCACCTGTGTGTGAGTATGTATGCACACGTAAAGAACTTGGACGAGAAAAACCTTTAGTACAAATATTACATTTATATTTTGTTAAGATGGATGTTGAGGAAGTTGCGGCGCGTATTCTTTTATTATTATTGCTAGTATTATTGTTATCGCTACTTCTATTATTATTGTTGTTGTTGTTGTTGTTGTTGTTGTTGTTGTTGTTGTTATCGTTATTATGATCAATTGGTCCTCTTTTGTTATTATTATTATCATTATATGGATGCTGTTGTCTCTGTGGAGTCGTTGTTTGAAAATGTGCTAGTGAAGAAGAGGATGATGGTAAAGGTTGTAAATTAATTATTGGTAATATTGATGAATTTATTCTTTGTTGTTGTTGTTGTTGCCCATAGCTTTGATGATAAGCTGCTGGTAATGATGTAGATGTTATCGTATTTAGTGGTGGAAGCGTATTATTGTTGTTGTTGTTGGCGGTAGCAGCGGTGGTATTAGCGATTGTGCCATTGTTATTAGTAGCAGAAGCACTATTTATTGGTGTTATCGATGTTAACAACCTAGGCGGTGACGGCGACAGCGACAAAGTTGACGCTGTATAATTATTAAAGTGTTGATGATTATGATTTTGAAGTGTAGGTTGATTACTATGTTGTTGTTGTAGTTGTTGTTGTAGTTGTTGTTGTTGCTGTTGCTGTTGTTGCTGTTGTTGTTGGTGATGTTGATGATGATGATGATGATGTAATTGAGGTTCATTGAACCTTCTATTATGTTGCAAGTTTAATAAATTATTACTATGACTATGATTATCACCATTATTATTGACTATTTGTCGATTATTATTATTGATGATATTATTAATAACGTTTCGTGGATTATCAAAATCCATGTCTGCGATAGTCTAATTTATTTTTGTCAAAAGTTAAAAGTTTTTTTTTTTTTCTTTTGTTTCTGATTGTTATTCTTATTATTCTTAATAATTAATTAATTAATTAATTAATCACTTAATAATATTAATTAAAATAAATAATATAAAAATTAATTACACTCTCTATTCAAGAATATCAAAATCTTTTTTTTTTTTTTTTTATTTTTGGAATTGTGCCAACTTTATATTCTCAATTATTCTATTGTAAGTGCTAAAATTTAGCAAATAAAAGCATGTCATGTAAATATTTTTGTTTTGTTGTTATTTGTTTTTCTTGTAATAAATTGATGTTATTTTGTTACTGATAATCGATGATAATAATAAGCGTTATCGTCAGCGCGGAACATCCATTCTAAAAAGATTAGACAAAATGGGAAAATATTCTTTATTTTTTTTATTTTTAATCCATGCTTAATGCAGTTATTATAATTAAAAGAAAGCTATTCTAATTTTGGAAATCTTTGTAGAGAATAATTTTTAATCCGCGCTTTTATTTATTCTCGGAATACCCCAAAACTCAACTTTAATTAATATTTTAATAAATATTAATTGCAGTAATTAAATGCGGATAATTAATTTAAAACTATTTTGGTACCAGTTTGTTTAAAAATATATTATTTGATATGGTGAATAAAACTTTTGTCGAGATTAGATTAACTAATCATTATTAATATTTAATATTAAAATAGGAATATTCTATAAATATTAATCTCAACACAACACACATGGTGCTTTTTGATGTTTATTTATCGCAAACAAAAAAAAAATATACGTGACAAATAAACCAAAATCATTTTACAATTAATCCACAATTAATTGATCATAAATACAATACACACAACAAACTATCATACCACTTTTTTTCCTTTATATAACAGTCACATGTAGTCTACAGGATAATATTCTGCCGACGGAAGACTTACATTTTTAATAATTGCCGTATAAATATATCCTCGAAAAATAATTTGTCAATTCAGACAAAAATAGAAAATTCTTTTTGAGGTAAATATTTTTTAACAATGCCTATCTATATATATTAGTCTTAGTATTAATTAATTAGTATTAGTATTTATTAATTAGTAACATCCGGATTTTTTTATTATTTATTACTATTACTATTACTATTACTATTTACTTCTGTTGATCTGTATAACCGTAACCCAAACACCAAAATTTTTTTTTGTAAATTATGCTTAACTGAATGAATAATGATATCATCAGTATTAAAAAGAATTAATATCATCAAAGAATTCCCCTTACAACATAACGTTGCATTTTTTTCAAAAAACCGTTATTACGTCACAGAATCACACAGAAAATCATCACAAAATTTGGTAGAAAAAATTGTACAAAAATATGCCTTAGACTTACCAAAAGGTTACAAGGTAAAAAGTGGTGATTTTGTTACTATTAGACCTGAACATGTTATGACTCATGACAATACGGCTCCAGTGATCACAAAGTAAGAATTCTAAGAAAACAATTAATTTTCCAATTGTATATATTATTATTACTAGTCGCTGATTTAGATTTATAATTTTATAATGGATTTTTTTTTTAATTATAGATTCAAAAGTATCGGAGTAAACAACATCAAGTTTCCGAGGCAAACAGTTTTTACCCTTGATCATGATGTTCAAAATAAGTCAGAAAAGGTACACACACACATACACACACACATACATATATATAATTACCATTAAAAAAATTTTTTTTTATCCAAGAAAAAAAACTTATAACAATAATATTTTCAGAATCTGAATAAATATAAATCCATTGAAAAATTTGCAAAATTAAATAATGTAGATTTTTATCCAGCAGGACGTGGAATTGGGCATCAAATTCTTATAGAAGAAGGTTATGCGTTTCCATATACAATGACAGTGGCATCTGATTCGCATTCAAACATGTATGGTGGTGTCGGTTGTTTAGGAACACCGATAGTTAGAACAGATGCTGCATCAATTTGGGCTACTGGTAAAACGTGGTGGCAGATTCCACCGGTTGTCAAGGTGGAGCTCAAGGGTACCCTTCCTAACGGCGTAACAGGGAAAGATGTTATTATTACTTTGTGTGGCATGTTTAATAAAGACGAAGTGTTGAATAGTGTAATTGAATTCACTGGTGACGGGGTCGGTGGAATTTCACTGGAAGATAGATTGGCAATTGCAAATATGACAACTGAATGGGGTGCACTAGCAGGTGTATTTCCAGTTGATAAAATTACATTACAGTGGCTTAGGAATAGGGTTGATAAACTAGAATTTACTCGATTTGGAAATAAGAATTTACCACCTACGCCACCTGGACAAAAATTCATCCATCCTAGAATTAATCATAAAAGGATTGATGAGATCGAGCAGGATCCATTAACGTCATCGCCTGACGCTTACTACTCAAAACACTTATCATTGGATCTTTCAACACTTTCACCTCATATATCAGGACCTAATTCTGTTAAAATTTCCACACCGTTAACAGAAATTGAAAAGCAAGACGTAAAGATTCAGAAAGCATATCTTGTCTCGTGTGTAAATTCTAGAGCCGGTGATCTACGTGCAGCTGCACAAATCATTAAAGGAAAAAAGGTAGCTGATGGTGTCGAGTTTTATATCGCAGCAGCAAGTAGTGAAGTACAAAGTGAAGTTGAAGCTACCGGTGATTGGCAAACACTTTTAGAAGCAGGTGCTAAACCTTTACCTGCAGGATGTGGTCCTTGTATAGGTAATTATGTATATATATTTGTTTGTTTGTTTGTTTATTTGTTTTATTGGGATTTAGAAATATATAATATGAATGTGTGTGTAATATTTAGATAATATGATTTATTAATATTTAATAATAATAATATGTAACAATAAATATACAGGTCTTGGAACTGGACTTTTAAAAGATGGAGAAGTGTGTATATCGGCTACAAACAGGAATTACAAAGGTAGAATGGGATCACCAAACGCATTGGCATATCTCGCATCACCAGGTAATTTATTCATTGATTTGCTTTTCTGCTCCACGCAAAAAATTCTTGATGTTAATACTAATAAACTTTTTTTAATAATTTTAGCTGTAGTTGCTGCATCTGCTGTTGCTGGGAAAATTAGTAGTCCTGCATACATTTCAACATTATCAACATCGTCACTGAAAATTACTACTTCTTCAAAAATGCCAATCATCACCTATGCCATTAATAATAATAGTAATCCACCACCTGAACCATCCTTCGAAACATCACAACCATCAACTGAATCTATAATTATTCAAGGGTTTCCCGAGACAATTGAAGGTGAATTGCTCTTTTGTCATCAAGATAATTTGAATACTGATGGTATTTATCCTGGCAAGTATCTTTACGCGGAGGATTATACACCTGATCAAATGGCAAAAATTGTGATGGAAAATTATGATCTTGAATTTGCAAAAATTGTATCAAAGGTATAAATAAATGAATGATTTTTTAAAATTATTTTATTCAAGATTTTATAACGCTAATTGTCACATGAAAATTATCAGGGTGATATTTTGGTTGGTGGATATAATTTTGGTACAGGTTCATCAAGAGAACAGGCAGCAACTGCTATCAAAGCATGTGGTATTAATTTGGTGATAGCAGGCTCTTACTCTCAGACGTTTAAACGTAATGCAATAAACAATGCTTTACTTTGTGTCGAGTCACCTGAGCTTGTGAATCTTTTAAAAAGTCGTTATTCACCAGACTCGCTAACTACCAGAACTAAACTAAAGGGAGAATTTATAGTGAAAGAAGGAAAATTTTTGATCAGAGGCTTGGAAAATTTGATGAATTTTAATATTGGCGTGTTGGGTAAAATTGTTCAAGAGTTATGGGTGGCTGATGGATTAGAGAATTGGATAAGGCAACAAAACAATTAAATTAAATGCAACAACAATCAATGTAATTTATTTATCCTTGTAATATATTTTAAATAAACTCCCGATATACATATTATTCAAAAAGCTCACGCCAATTAGATATTAATATTTTATTAAATTAATAATTGTTGATATAGTTTTTGATTGTTCCAGAATTGGACTTTGCCAAGTTTGTAATGTTTTTTTTGCAAAAGCTTCTTCCTCTAAAAATTGGTTTATTATGCATGACAGCAAACTAATAGGAGAAATAGGGAAAAATAAATTACCGAAACCTAATGCTGTATCAGTGTTGGGATTCGTACACGTACACGTACGTACGTATGAGCTTAAAATTTTTTAGTACATTGTACGAACATATCATGTGACTTATGCCAATTTTTATTGGTTGATCAAATGTAAATTGCATTAATTCGTTAAAAAGTTTTTTTTTTTAGTATCCATTTTCCACCAGAATTTGTTGCTAGATGATCAATACTTTGGACATATAAGTTATAAAGTTCATCATCTTCAATATTTACAAGTTCATTTAGAAACAAAATTATCTAAAAGGACCATAATTAGATGATTGAGATGAAGTAGAAGAATTACATCCTAATAAAAAGAAATTAATTAATTCAATAAATCAATTAAATTGTTAATTGTTAATTAAATAAATTATTAATTAAGAATTTTTCTTTTTCTTTTTACTGTATTTGTTATTATCATATTATTGCTAAGAGCTAGTATTTAAATTTTTTCTTCTCGGTTATACACAACATGAAAATTTTGACAACCACTAAAATGTTACAGTATATGTTCAATTTTATCTACTATCGTTTTTAATTCATTCCTGTTTCACCAACTTTAATAATTTGTTACTGAACCACTGTTTTGTTTTGTTTCAATGATGTAATCTTTCAAAGCTTTAACCATTAGAATAAAAGAATGTAATTATATAATTGATAATAATTAAAAAGGATCAACAACGCAAAGAAAATAATAAATAAATCGTATTTTCAAAATGCTACTAGTCTGTGAAAAAGAGATGTATTCTCAACTTTGAATATGGAATAGTATAGTATATCTAGTTTGACTGTATAGAGAGATTTTTTCGGGTAATAAATACCAGTTATGAAAAAATCGTGACTGAAAAACACTAAAATCATATTGCAACGAGGATAATAAAAATCCATATTTTCATAATCCTACTAGTCTGTGAAAAAAAGTCATGTCGTTTTCATTTTCGAGTATGTTGTAGTATAATATATCTATTTTGGTGTATAGAGAGATCTTTGCAGGTAATAAATACCAGTTGTGAAAAAATCGTGACTAAAAATTATCATATCGCAATGAGAATAATAAAAATCCATATTTTCATAATCCTACTAGTCCGTGAAAAAAAGTCATGTCGTTTTCATTTTCGAGTATTTTGTAATATAATATATCTAGTTTAAATGTATAGAGAGATTTTTGCGGGTAATAAATACCAGTTGTGAAAAATTATTTTTTTTTGAAAAAAAAAATTTCACCATGAAATTTTCAGGTAACGCTTTAAAAAATCCGCTCATATTGATTTACATTAGATTTGTTGACTTATACAAGTGTGACACCCAATGGAACTTTTTAATGTGCCACAGAAGATAAAAGGATTTAAAATAAGATGTTTTTCCTGATAATGAAGCAGTATTACGATCCCCGTTACAACATCTGGTAATCCGTTAATTATAGTAAATAGGGTTAACGGCTTAATAACAATAACAATAATATTATTATCATAGGACTTTACAAAGTAATATTTTATCGCCGTAGAAAATCATTGTTCCTGATACGTACATATGTAAAATTTCCTCGTACAGGTGTACGACCACTACGAAACTGTACGAACTCAATTGTATGAAGTACAGTCGTACATCATACGTACGTACAAAGATTCTTCTCGTACAACGAAATCCCACAACCCTGGCCTAAATATAAAATCAGTCACAGGAGATTACAGATAATGATAAAAAATAAAACAAAGGACCCGTGTAACAAACAATATTTTTAAAACATCTTCATAATAAATGCAAGCTTCGTCATTAAAACTACACCATTAAAGCTTTCTAATGGATATTTTTTATATCAAAAGGAACTCTCCATGTAAAACTATGGCTATTCAAAAGTGGCTTCACATTTATACTTCAATGAAAGATTTCTTTTCAATTTTGCTGTAAATGTCTTGAAATTGACGAGAAGATTTAAAATAATTTAAGCTTTCATATGGGTATGCGTTATTGAATTTTAGAGAAAATGGTAAAAGACCTGAAAAAAAAAACATGATAAAATTCTATTACCGTAAAGTCTCGAAAGATAGCACACCCATTTTACAACTGTGTAACAAATGATTTTCAATTGTTTTAAAATAGGTGTGCTATCTTTCGGGGGTGTTATCTTTCGAGACTTTACGGTATTTATTTTTAAAACCATTCTCCAAATTTGGTAAAATTTTTTTATCAGGACCCTTCCCCCCGCAAACTTCATACATATTAATATATACAGTACAGCTCGAGTCATCAAATCCGACCACTATACGGAAGAGGTGGCAAAATTTAAAATATAGAAGTTACTAACATTCAAACCACCACAACTTTAAATAATAAATATTCTACATCAAACTTTTTTATAGAATTATCCTTGGCATTTGCTATATAAAATTATGAAAGAGTTTGAGTGTCAAAAGTGCTTTGTGCTTCAAAATACTGCATAAAATTGGTCAACATAGTAGGCAAGTCTATTCCAAAAAGTTTTATTTTACAAGCTGACAAATGGATTGATAAAGTGGAAAATGCTGATAGTTTTTTTATTCACCAGGAAGGTAATTGAATCAATAATTAATTAAAACTTTCATAACTTGGTTATTGATTTCTATAATAATAATATTTTTGATATAGTTGTGATGATTATGCATCAGGCACTAATCATACATTGTCAACTTATGAATATGCTAAAATGTATTCAGGAGTCAATAATTGATATTTGTAAAACATATTACATCTCAAAAATTAACAAAAGAAGGTTTAGATAGAATATGCGACACTGTTATGAGATTAGCTGAAGTTGAAGGGTTAAAGGCTCATAGAAAGGCTGTTCATGCTAGAATTAAAGATATTAGTAATCAAAATTAAATATTTAATTTATTTATATGGTTATAAAATACCCCAAGTTATTTGGGCTCTTCACCTTTCAAGTTGCTTGAGTTTCATCCTTGACAATTACAATTTTCCTTGATTCCTTAATTTTTAATTTTGCTGCTTCTTTTTCGAAATCTTCCTTTCTTTATTAACATAACTTTCAATAATTGTAAATAAATTTATTGTAAAGTCTATGTTTTATTAATAAGTGCATTTGTGTTATCTAATTTTTAAATTACAAAACGAGATTTTTACGTATTAATATTATATTAATATTAATGTTATTGACAAACAAACAAAAATGGAAAAGGATCAACAGAAAATTAGAGGAATTTGATCAAAGGAACCCCCAGCAGATGCGAGCGATCTCAATGAAATCCATAGCATAACGACCACCCGCTTGAATTTTCATTGAATCGTGACTTAAGGTTGGAATAATCTGGTTTCGAAAATTATAAGTAGAATAATATGATAGAAATGTTGTTTTCTTTATTTTATTTTTGCTCGTTCATGGTTTGTTAGCCTGTTTCTCTCCATAAATTGTATTTATTGTATCCAAATTCGTTGTTGAAAAGTAAGACGGTCATTAAGTTTACTAAATAAAATGAATAAAGCTCTGAAAGAAGGTGCAAGTACAACAGTGCTTGGTGGATTGTTTTGTCAAGGTGTTGGATGAGTTGGTGGTAATGCCAGAATTGTCACTAAATCAGAGAAATAGTAAAATAGAGTTAATAGATTTTAACGATAAGCTAATGTTAATGTTAAATGTAAAATTATAATTGTATTTTAACAAAAAGTGTCAACTGCCAATATTAGTTAGCATCATTAAATATTTTTGGTTAAAAAAATTTCTAATAAAAAAGGAGATTCTATTTTTGTTTCCTTTGTTACACTAATTGATCTCGGATTAATTTTCGTAACAATTAAAATAATCGCACATTTAACATTAATAATCAAACAACAACAATGGCAGCTTCTCAATCCCAATTAGTTTCTCTTCTTCAAAATACGCTTGGTACACTAATAGGGAAGCAATCAATGTATATTGAAAGCTTATCTGAGCCTGTTAAGAAACGAATAAAAGCTTTGAAATATTATCAACAAGAACACGCGAAATTAGAAGCAAAAGCTCAACAAGAGATTTTGGCTATCGAGAAAAAATATTCGGAACTATATAAACCTTTATATGAAATTCGTTCAAAAATTATACGTGGAGAATGTGAACCGTCAGAAGAAGCTGTGGAAGCAGGAACTAAAATAGAAGAAGAGGAGAAGGAGGACGAGGAGGACGAAGAAGCTGAAAAAGAAACTAAAGAAAAAGACACTGAAGAAGAGGACGCTGAACATAAGGATACTGAAGAAAAAGATACTGAAGAAAAGAATACTAAAGAAATGGATATTGAAACAGATACTCAAGAAAAAGGAGCTGAAAAGGACAAAGAAGCTTGTAATCCTGTTAAAGGAATTCCTGAATTTTGGCTTACAGCCATGAAAAATGTAGAAAATATTGATAGTTTGATCACTGAACGTGATCAAGAGGCATTAAAATATTTGGTTGATATCAGAATGTCACATCTTGAAGAAAAACCAGGTTTTAAATTAGAATTTGAATTTGATGAAAAGAATCCATACTTTACAAACAAAATTTTATCAAAAACTTACTATTATCAAGAAAAACTTGGATATGGTGGTGATTATGTTTATGATCATGCTGAGGGTGAAGCAATTGGTTGGATATCAGGGAAAAATCTTACTGTAGAAACAGGAACAAAAAAACAAAAAAATAAAAGTATTTATTTATTTATTTTTAATAATCATCATCATCATCATTATAGTTATTATTACATTTGTTCATTATAATATATCATTGTTTTTGATTATGATTTCTAGATACAAACAAATCTCGTATAGTGAAAACCACAATACCAGTAGAATCATTCTTTAAATTTTTCAGTCCACCAAGTAAACCAGGTGATGATGACGAGGATGACGAGGATGACAACAACAATTATGATGATTTGGAATTACTATTAGAAATTGATTATCATCTTGGCGAAGAATTAAAAGATAAACTTATTCCTCATGCTGTTGATTGGTATACTGGTAAAGCTTTGAAGTATGAAGAAACGTTTAATTGTAGTGAAGATGATGATTTTGAGGAAGATGATGAGATTGATGGTTTCGATGATGGGTTCGATGATGATGATGATGATGATGACGACTATGATGACGATGATTATGATAATAGTAACAATGACAATGTAATTTAATATTTTACATATATGTATTATTTATTCTTTTAATCAACCTTTACTTATTATTATTAATATATTTTATAGGCAGTTGGAAAGAATGGGAAAGTAGGTAAATATCGAATTTTCAATCAATTTTTAGGTGATTAATTGAATGATGTGTTTCTTGCTCTTTATTAATTTTTAAAAATTTTTTGATAGAATTACCTGAATGTAAACAACAATAATAATAATTGAAATCTATATGCATTGATTGATGTCAAATTTTAATATTTTACATATTTCATTCTATTCCGTGAAAAAAAATGTATAATTTTTTACTTGGTTTGCTGTCAAAATTCAAAAATTATATTTTTATAAAATTTAAAACTTCTTCATTTGATGTTTGTGCATGTATGCTGGCAGAAAATCATCGTTCCTGCAATATCATCGTTTGTTGGTGCTTCACACTTATTATTTTTAGATCAAAAAATTCAAAGTTATCATGAAAAAGATATATATATATACGATATTATACTTTTTTTTTATTTATAAAAAAAAAATATTATTTTCTAAATAAAATCTATTTGAAATAAAAAATAAAAGTAAATTTTTATATGAAAAATTGAAAAATGCAAAATATGTATAAAATTAAAAAAAATCTAATTACAATATTTTTTTCTAATTTTTATAACTTGTATCAAACATTTTAAAAAAAAATATAAAAAATTCATAAAATAAAATATTCTTGTTAGATATTATTACCAATGTATATTATTATTAATATTGCTATTAATATTATTGTTGAAATTATTGTTATAATTAAAATTGTTGTAGTTACTATAATTTAATCCACCATTATTGTTATTGTTATTATTATTATTGCGTATACCATTATTATTATTATTATTATTATTATTAGAATATCTTGAACGACCTATCATTCCATCCAAAAAATTGATCATTTTAAAATTAAATATGCAAATAAAGAAAAACAGATCATATTATGTGTCACATACCATTATTAGCGCTACCACCAGCAACTTTAACTAAATCTAACAACTTCGAATCAACTTTTTGATTAGCTTCTCTTAAAACATTTATCAAATATTTGGCTTGTCTAGCATTATCAGTGGTGAAAAATGAAACTGCCAATCCTTTTGCTCCGCCTCTTCCGGTCCTACCAATTCGATGAACATAATCCTAATAATTTGGATAAATTAATAAAATTGGTATTTGGCTTATGATTTAAAAATATTATTTTTTTTTTAAAAGAGATCGTGCGTAGTATTATTACCTCAACATTGGTAGGAAAATCATAATTAATCACAAGTTTAATGTCCTTGACATCTATAAAATAAATAAAAAAGGTTAAATAAAAATGTTGGTGAAAATTATTATAAAATTCAATGAATCCACAAAGTATTCCATAAATTCATATAACAAATCAAATAAATCAAAGAAGGAAGGTACTTATCCAGTCCAGTGTCCAAATGATAGTAATATTAATGCAGATAAAAACAACAACAGTGTAGTAATTTCAGCACATATAATATCACAAACATTTTTTTCAACAGTGCGAATAATAAATTTGCACCATTAAACAGACGGCCAGACAGACAGACAAAAAAACAAATGATAGAAGCAAAAATAAAATAAAGATATATGCAATCCCCAAATGCCAGGTATATGAGCAGCTGCAGGCAAAATAAAAGGTATCGATCGCATTATTTTCTTTTTAAGAGAGAATGAAGCTTCTTTTGGGACCAAAAAAAACCAACATCCATGAATTTCCCTGTATAAACACACACACGTGTGTGTGTGTATATATATATTATGAAGTTAAAAGTCAACCTCACAGATACCAACTCCACCTTTTTAATTGTTACCCGAAACTACCAAAAACCGGCAAAAGGGACCTACACACATGAAGAAACCACACACATACATATATAGATACTACAGTATACACACACATGAAACAAATATAAAAGGTGTTATGTTTTACAAAAACACCAATTATGTATAAGTAAATAAAAAATTTTCAAAAAATTTGCCAACTATACCGATTCCTCTAGAAGCAACGTCAGTAGCGACCATTACAGGAGATTTACCACTACGAAATTCACCCAACACCCAATCACGTTCATTCTGAGCCTTATCGCCATGAATTGCAAGAGCTGACCAACCATCTTGACGTAAATATTTAGTAACATCATCTGCTGTACGTTTAGTGGCAGTGAAAATTAATGTTTTATTTTCATTTTGATTCATAGTACGCTCAAGGTGTTTAAGCAACCTGGATAAGTAAATAAATACATATTTATCAGATAAATCTAATAGTAATATTTAAAATAAATAAATAAATAAATATAATAATAATTACATATCGCGTTTTTGATATTCAGAGCAGACTTCAACAGTTTGTGTAATGTTGCGACCAGCTGACAAGTCCATAGAACCTATATTAACTTGAATAAAATCTTTTAAATAATCTTCAGCAAGTTTTTTAACTTCTTTGGGCCATGTTGCACTCCACATAAGCGTTTGACGATCAGGTCTGATTTGGTCAACAATTTTACGAATTTGAGGTTCAAAACCCATATCCAACATACGATCAGCCTCATCAAGTACCAGATAGGTAACACGTTTAAGATTGGTTTTTTTTGTTTCAAGCATATCTATTAGCCGACCGGGAGTTGCTATACAAATTTCCACACCATCAGACAACTCGCGTGCCTGAGGTCCTTTTGGGACGCCACCATAGACACAAGTATTTTTGATGTTTGATGATTTGCCAAATTTTCTACACTCTTGTTGAATCTGAAGTGCCAATTCACGTGTAGGGGCTAATATTAATACTATGGGTCCATCTCCAGGTTCAAGATATGGTTGTGCATTGATATGAACAATTGCTGGTAGACAATAAGCCAAAGTTTTTCCTGATCCGGTTTCTGCAATACCAACCAAATCACGACCAGAGAGAGCCATCGGCCATCCTTGAGATTGAATAGGTGTTGGTGCTTGAAAACCAAGACCCAATATTTCTCTTAACACATAACCTAATGAAGATAAATTAAATCAATTAGAAAGGTAATTTTTATTTATAATTTTTATTTTTGAAAAAAAATCGTGTAAATAAGTAACATTATATTATTTACCAGGAAATTTTGCTTCCTCAAAAGTTTCAACAGGTTTTGGTATGTTGCGACCAAAAACTTTCATCTCATATTTTTTACGAAACTCTTCAACTTCAACTTCAGATCTAGTTATTACATTAGAATGTTCTTGATAAAAATTTTTTTCAAATTTTGAAAGACTTGCAACATCCCAATTCTGGCTAACCAAGCTAGATCCAAAAGTATTATTATTGTATGAATATGTTTCTGAATAATGGTTATTGTTGCTATTATTATAAACCACATTATTGTTGTGGTTGTTATAATCTCTATAATTTGTATTGTATCTTTTTAAAAAATTATAGTTACATAAGAATAAAATAAAAATTAACTACAAGAAAAAATTACTAAATAAAAAAATAATTACTCTTTACGATCTCTCTGACTTCCATAGTCGTAATTGTTCGTTGAGTAAGGAGTAGAACCTTTGTTAGCGTTATTATTATCATTATTAGTAATGTTATTATTGTTGCTGTTGTTATTATTGTTACGAGTAAAACCATTATCATCATCCTTACCATAAGGATTTAATGCCCCATTACCGTTATAATTATTATAATTGCTATTATTGTTATTATTATAGTTATTGTTGTTATTATTGTTATTATTATAGTTATTGCTATTGTTACAGTTATAGTTATTTGAATAATATGTTGTTTGAGTATAAGGAGAAGATTCTAAAGGAGCAGGAGCATTATAATTGTTATAAGCCATTTTTTTAATTATTGCTTTTTTTTTTTAAAAAAAAAATTTCAGGTAAAAAAAGATTTCGGCTACAACGGTACATATTTATTATTATAATCCCTGAATACATTCAGGGATATTACCCTAGTTGGAAATGGAAATCGAAATCTAGATCTTAATATTAATATTAATATATAAATAATAATAAACAGGTTAAATATGTGGTTCATTATCATTGTCAACCTTTTTAATTTCCTGAACTCTAGTTTTTTCCAATGAGAAAATGAATTTGGAACTTGGTTAATGAAAATGTAGTTAAGAAGAAGTTAAATGATTTAACTTAGGCTTTAGTCAATATGTGAAGTAGTGACAACAAGTTACACATGACAAAAATCGGAGATGATTAACACGGCAAAACTAAATTAAATGTTACACTGAAACGTATTGAACCGATCTTCATAAACATGAACCTCTTCACTTTTCCCTTTGGTTGTGAATATGTGAGATTTACTCTCCAAGGGTGGTGTATTGAAATTGGTTCCATCCTTCTATCTTCTCGGCTAAGTGTTCCAGATTCTTTGCAAGATATTTCTTCTACTCTTGTAACGTTGCCTTCCTGGAAGGTCAACTTACATAATACGTCCAAAGGGTCTGATTCATTTCGTCGACAATCATTTCGTCGACAGTCATTTCGTCGACACCCATTTCGTCTAAAGTTTGTTTCATCGAATGTTCATTTCATCGAATGTTCATTTCGTCGAATGTTCATTTCGTCGAAAATTATTTCGTCACAAAAAAAAAACTTCATTAAACAAATTTCTCCTCACACTTCCCACACACCCCGATTTCCTCGCCTAATTTCTTAACTAACTTCCACACTCCTCACATCTAACTCGTTCGGTCTCTGGCTCGAGGATGAGATAATTTTCGACGAAACAAACATTCGACGAAGTAAACGCGACCGAAGATGGGTATCCTTAAAATATTGTAAGCGAAGCCAAATCTATTCTTTCCACTCTTCAAGAGTTTCATCTTCACAAACTTGAGGCATATCACAATATTCTTTCCATAGTTCATAATTGGTGTATTCAAGCATTTTATGACCTATTTACTGATTATATAGAATAATATAGTTATTTCCACATTTTTTGACCTATATATCATATCTTATGAAATTCAATTTTTGTACGATTAAAAACACGTATATATGAAAGTTTAAATTGTGTAAAAACATGAATTAACAGGTTTAACATATATTTTTATCATAATCATATATTAATTAAATTACATAAAAAAAACAAGTTTTAAATCTAATAAAATCTGAAACATAATAAAAATTAAAAATAAATTTTTTGTTTTTTTTATGAAAATTTTTTGTCAAAAAAATTTTAATTGATGAAATTACCCGAGTCTACAGCACTATTCAAGATTGAGGTTTTATAATGAAATTTTCTTTTAAGAATTTGTGATACCGGGAATAATTGGATGAATTATCAACTTTGTAACATGTATTTTATTTTTTTATATAGCATTAATTGAAATCATATAATAAAATACAATTATAACAGTTCTTGATCATTCCAAGCAAAAAGACAATGAACAAGTAACAAGATTAATCAATGAGTTAACGAAACAAATTATTATTAACAAGAAAAAAGACTATATCATGCATTCTTCAATGTAAATTATAAAAATTATTTATTTAAATTATTTAATAGCTATCTATAATGACAAAAATTTAATTAATAATAGTAAAATTAAAATTGTTTTGAAATTGTTCTTGATAAATGTCTATGGTAAATGAACGAAAAGGAATGAGCAAATCCTAGGCATTCCCGTTACAATGACACTCTCGGGGAAAGCAAAAAATATCGGCATAACGGAAGTTCATAGAAATCATTGTAATGAATTAAAAAAGATTTTTATGAATCACGCGATATTAATATGTTACAAATATTTTATTGGTCCAATAGAAGTTTTGTGACACATCACGTGATATGTATTCTTAATATAGTTATACTGACATGTCATAACAAATTATGTCGTTATACTAGTATAAACTTTGTTTGTTACCACAATGAGCTGTCATTATAACGAGAGTAATAAAAAAAGAGAGTGGAGGAAAGAAAGGTATGAATAATTATCTTCGTGTAGTTTTCAATTGGTTTGAAATTCTTTCACTTTTATCATAAGATTAAAATTTTTTGTCTAGAAATCATCATCATTGTCATTGTCATCAGTACGACAATGACTACCTTTTTTTTCGCTAACAGCAATACCATCATCATAACCATCGTATTTTTCATTTAATGTTTCTGGATCTGATGAAGAATCTCTACTAGTTAGTTTTGGTGATGTGGATCGACCTCTTCTTGGTGGCGAAGAATCAACAATTGATGCATCAATATTACCATTTGATGGTGATAATGATTTTGATTTTGATAATGGTTGTGGTTGTGGTGCTAAAATAGTGCCATTTATCAAAGATTTTCTTGATGGATTGAAGTGATTACAATTTTTACAATAATATTGAATATCATCAAATTCGGCTGGAAAAGCCAAACCATTCCAAGTATAACAATCTTTACAAATCAAAGCATATTTTTGTTCGTCTTCGCCAGCAACTACATCAACTAATTTATCATACCAGTTAGTTTGATTTATTGATGATGATGGTTTAGATGTTTGATCAATATTACCATTATTATCATTATCATTATTATTATTTGGTGGTAGGCGTTGGCGTAAAGAATTTGGTGTGCCACGTTTTAAACTACCAGGTGTTGTCATTGATGTAATTTTTTGACCGGGAGTCATTGGTTGCTGTTGTTGATTTATTGGAGAATTTGTTGGTGAATCATATCTATCTAGCAAAGTCTTAGTTAAATAATAACTAGTTCTCTTTTTCATTTCTTCTAGTTTAAGTTTTTGTTTGGCTCTTAAATGTTCAAGTTGAGATGCTTCATTAGTTTCATTTCTTTTATACCATAAATTAAGAAATTTACAACCAACTACGATGAAAAAAGGCCCTGTTATAACAGGCGCCACTTTCATAAAATCAAAACCTTCTCTCTGATTAGACATATAAATAAAATACCAATATCCTATTGCATATGCAATATATGCTAATAATGAGTATACTATCCAGACTATTAATGCCTTATTTCCTCGTTTTCTTATTTCACCTAGGGATATTTCTGTTTTACGAATATTATCATCAAGCTCTGATAATATTTTTTCATAATTATCATCATTTTTTGACTTGAAACGAGATATAACAACTCCCATCGCTAATAACAATACTATTAGTATCATTAATTATTTTGTGAGTACTTGCTTGAATAGATGAAAATGATTAATTTCAAAAATAATTGTAAGGGAAATAATTAATAATAAAAATAATAAAAATTTTATAGTTCAATATCCGTAATTATTTATAATAATTAAAATGTGACGCAGATCTCACAGTTGACATTCATATGTAAAAATAGAAATCCGATTCATCTAAATCAATCGAGATCCTCTATATGTTGGGGTGTTACAAATAATAATAAAACACCAAACAAACACAGGGGAAATCAATAAAGAATTTTGTTGATCATATCATTATTATTACTATTACTATTATTATTATATGTACATTAATTTCCGTTTACGTAAAACTGTTAATATAACTCATCATGCTGATGATAATTTTACATAACTTCATATTATTACCTATTACTCCTCTCCACCTATATATTTGCTTATCTTGTCATTTAAACATGATATTATTAACGGGTTTTTCAAATGACCAAGGCTTTGGAGTAGAACAGCCACAGTCAAGATAAAATGTTTTAGGTTCGCAAAAAGATTTTTTAATGTAACAGAGTTTTTTCAAACATATTGACCCAATAACAAGCCACTATTGCGCGTTTGTTTAAACTTTAAATATGATAACGTAAAATTGGTCTTATTACTAAAGTCGGGTTATGTTACATTGTAAATACATACTTTTTCGATTTATTCCATCTTATAATCTTGAAATATATTTGTTCTATCAAAATAGTAGCAGTTTTTGTAAAGTCGATTTTTTATAGTGATTTTATTTTTGAATAATATAGAACTTTTATTATCGTGAATTTTTAAATAAATAGATGAAATAAATGACTAAATTAAAAAGATTTATAATGGGTTAACTCTTAAATTTGAAGGCTATATACAAAGATAAAATTTATTCGAAACCTGGTTAATTCTAATATTTCTTTATTTAGAGATTTTGTTTCGATTCTTTTTAATAACATTTCTTTAAAAGGAAAAGGTTTTCGAAGGAGAAATTTTAATCCTTATAAACCCCCTTTTTAAAAAACTTTCTTCCTTAAGTCACAAAGAATAAGACCACGAAAGGATTTTTGCTCTATCTTGTTCAGTTATCGATGATTTTACAATAAAGTTAAAAAAACCTCTCTGTTACCATGTTCATCAGAGGTTGTACCCAATGAATAATAATATTCAGTAAATATTCAGTGAATATTCGGTTAATCGAATATTTGATTTTTTTCATTAATATATTGTGTAACTAAATTTAAATAAATTTTCTCACGTCAAAATAAATTCTTATTTAATTCATTTAATTAATTTAAATTTAAAATGGAAGAAAGAGCCTTCAGTCACTATAATAGGAGAAAATAATAATACAATAGTGAGAATGGTTGAGTCTACTGCTGCTCATATTTTGAAGAAAAGAAAGGTAAAGGGTGATTCTAAGAAAGTCAAGTTGGATATGGAACTTAGAATATTCCATATTAGAAAAGTATTAGCATTTAAAAATTGGAGATGTCTTTAGATGGTCTGCACTTGTTAATTTTAATTTTGCAAAATATGTTACTCTGAAAAGATATATATAACTCATATGGCAAATTAATGAATTAGTATTAGTTGAAACAGAAATTAGAATGATAGTTATATTTGTCAATTGTTCATCCATATCTATTGCCCTTTGGCTCTTACTTGTTTTCCAATATTGATTTTTCGTAAGATTTCAATGTTTGCCAAACTTAAATACATAAATTAATTTATTTCTTCTATTTCAAGTAATTGGGGTAATTTAATATTGACCAATGCAAAAAAATTCAAAAGATGTTATAAACTCTCTCATGTTTAAAGGTAAAAAATAATTGCATATATTTTAACCAAGTTTTTTATGATTTACCCAAAGATCTTTGTAGAAAATTGAATTGATAATTGGAATGATGAGCTGGGAACATGTATTGCTTCTTCTGGAAATTTTCTGTCTGATGCTCTTATATATCATTGGTTATGGTCAATAAAATGACTTGAAATGACCCATTAATAAAATAATTCAAGTTATCCTGCGAGAGACTATTTGGCTATTCCAGACCTTATATATTTTATAATTATTTAATAAAAAAATTAATATTAATATTTACTTTTTAAACTTTATATACCTACAAATAGTGCAGAAACATCATATATTCACGAAATTTTTTTTTTTTCAAATTCGATATATGATCTAGACATCACATGTTGCAGATCATACTTAAAAATCCAAATTTGTAAATCGCGCGGTTTTAGGTTATAAAATTTATATATATATAATTTTGACCACTTTTTTTCGTGCTAAAATAATAATAATAAACTCTATTTTCAGGATAGCACATATTTAGAAAAGTATCAGCGTTTAAATTTTAGATTGATGATCTATTTTATTTTGATCAAAAACTTTTTTATTTTTAAATTTTCTTAAACTTTTATATATATTACTAAAATCTTTCCTAGGAAAAAATATATACAAGTTAATTTTTTCTATCTCTTTCTTGTAAGGTTCTTTCAATATGGCTCGATCAAAAAAAATCAATGGTGGTATTCAAGAACAATCAGACGTTAATATCTCCAATGACGAAAAATATGCAAGGTATAAATGATGTTTTAATTTTTTCCGTGAATGCTATATTCGAATAGATGCCTCTATCAAATTATGCATCTATTCGAGGTTATCTTATTAGACTACACGCACACACACGTATATTTATAGTCATTTCTTTCTGATTGTCTGCATATATATATATATATGTTGTCAAAATTTTTATTTTATTTTTCTAATCGATCAATTTCTACTTATTATATACTAATTCTAGTCAAGTAAATTCACATATCAATCACTATCAACATTTATTAATATTATTTTATTGGTCACAATTAGGTTTGATACTCGTTGGTTTAATGAGACGATGACTAGGGAGCGCAATAAACAATGCACAAATGCACTCAAAGTATTAAAACGTCACCCATCTGCTGTACCTTTCCTAAAACCTGTAGATCCAATCAAGCTTAATATTCCTGATTATCCTGTTATCGTAAAAACACCAATGGACTTTAGCACAGTCGAAAAAAAGCTTAACAATTATGAATATAAATGTGCTCATGATTTTGAAAAAGACGTTCGGCTCATATTCTCAAATTGTATCATTTATAATGGTCAACACCATCAGTTTTCAAAATATGCTAAGGATTTAGAAGAAATATTCATTGAACAACTCTCTAAAATCCCTGGTGCTAAAACTACCACCGATAAAGCTGCCCGAGAAATTAAACAGGAGGTAAAATTAATCAATCAAATATAACTAATTTATTTTTTTATTTCTTTATATAGATCTTGATTTATTGATTTAATTTAACTTGCCTTGACATATAATTAATAATTAGAAACCAGCTCCTAAACCTGTTGCAGAATCTTCTACTAAACCAATAAGCAAACAAAACCTCAAACCTACTACGGAAGCTACATCTTCATCCATTGTAAAAACCGAAAATTCTGAAACAAATAGACCAAAAAGAAAGATCAAATTCCCTAATAAAGAACTTCCTCAAATCACTCAACCATCTCGTCGTAAAAGAACAAAGAAAAACATTGACCTCAAATTCTGTCGTTTAGTGTACCAGGAATTGAAAAAGCGGCAGCACTTTACATATGCTTATCCATTTTATGAGCCTGTCAATGCTGAGAAATTGGGTGTTCCTGAATATTATAATGTAATCAAAAACCCCATGGATCTTTCCAAGGTTTATAGTAGATTAGAAAGTGAAGATTACGCATCTGCAGAAGAGTTTGAAGCAGACATACGATTGATGTTTGACAACTGTTATAAATTCAACGCCCCTGGTACTGATGTATATAACATGGGTAAACAACTAGAAAATGTTTTTGATAAAAAATGGACAGAAAGACCAATCCCACAACCTCATTCAGCTGCTCGTGAAAAAATCAAGGAGGAAGAAGAATCTGCTTCAGACAAAGAAAGTGAACAAGGTACGTATCATTATTAATTTTTATTATGGAATTTATTATCAACGAATAAATTAATATTAATACTTTTTCTTTCTTTTCAGCTAAACACTTGAAGGCTTTACAGAAACACCTTGCTGCTTTATCGTCTCAACTCAATCAATATAGAAAATCAGGAAAGTCCAAAACCAAAAAACCTGCCACCAAAAAAACTGCCAAAAAGGCTACTAAATCAAAATTAAAGTCTGATGCTGATACATCAACAGATTCAATACCAAAAGCAAAACGTCGACGAACTTCAAAAGACGACATTGACGCTTTTGTTAACGAGAATGATGACAAAGAACTTAGTGCTGATCAAAAGGCTTTCCTTTCCAAAAGGATCGAGTATCTTCCTCAAGAACTCATGGTTACACTCATTGGTATTATACAACAGAGTGGAGCAACTTTGATGCCTGAAGAAGGTGGTTACGAGTTAGAAATTGAATCAATCGACACTAAAACTGCCAAACGAATTTATAACTTTGTAATGGCAAATACTTCTGAGCCAAATGGTCGTAAACAAAGAAAAACTCCTGTTAAAAGAAAAGTTCAGATGAGTGAAGAAGAACAAATAAAGGCTTTGGAAGAAACTTTGGCTAAATTCGACAACAAATCCACATCTCCTAACAGTATGTTTTTTTTTCTTTGTTATATAAAGTTTTCTCGAAAATATCTTCAATAAACTTAAATATATATATTTATTCAATTCGCTAACTAATATAGAGGCTAACGATAGTTCTGATGACGACTCCTCGGATAGCCAAAGCTCGGCATCTTCCGGTTCCGAGCCTTCGGATAGTGATACTGCTGTTTAAAAAACTGGTTGCTTTTTCTTTTTTTATGTAATTCAATATGCGCCCAAAATTTTGTAATGTTTTTTATCCAAAAAGCAAATTAATATTCAAGTTTTAGCGTTATATAATTAGTGTATATAATTATTGTGTATATAATTTTAATTAATTTTTAGATTTACAGAGAAATTTGATTTATGTTCAGTCTTTTTGTGACTTTGGCGGGTTTGCTAATAAATGAAATCAATCACAATTACCATTATTGCTATGTCCCATTGAAAATTTAAAACACGTGATCATGTAAAATATATAGCAAATTCGAAGTTTTGATATTAATCAAAACTTTTGATTTATAGAATGTATTTGTCATTATCCCTTAATTCGTGATACGTGATAGAAGTAGCAGCCCATGCGGACAATTTCCGAAAGGTTACACCTTTATCCCTCAGTTCGTAGGGATAAAGCCACAGCCTGGGAAATCATATAAGAGGGATATCCCCCCTTATCAATTTTATCGATCTTTGGGTATCGGTCGGATAATTCACTCAAGATCTACGGACCAGGTGATCAGAGATATATCCGTGTATTTATATTTATCCCTCGCCAGGCTAAAGCTGTATCCCTCTGAACACAGGGATAAAGGTGTAACCTACCTGGAAATCGTCCGCATATGGTGACATTACCCTTAATTAAGACTGTTACGCAGATCAATTCCGATAAAATCAAATTTCTCCATATATGTTGCATATTATTTTCATTGATTTTTTATCTATTATTATTTATTAATCAAAGAACCAAAATGAACAAAACAAACTCAAAAATATTGATAGTACTTATGATACTCCTGATAGGTCATATTTTCATCTTTCAGTTTACAAGCCTGATTCAATCAACTAATATCGAACATTTACAAAAAAGACAAGACACTCGTAATTATCATTTGTTTATTTTCTTCATTTTATTTCTTGAACAAAAAATGATGTTTTATTTATATATTTTATAGAACCACCGGATAATCGTAATTATCATTTTAATTCGTTTATTAATAATAATAATGTGTAACAAAGATTTTTAAAATCCGTTGAAACGCGAATTTAACTACAAAAATTAAAATGTCAGGATCGACACGATTATTAAAAAAGCAAATAATTAGTTATTTCCTGGTTACTATTTATAGAAATTTTTTATTGACTTAAAAAATAGCTTAAATTATAGTCACGCAGTTTTACAATACTATCAATAAATACAATATGCTAATGCGCGTAAATATGTCCATATAAAACGTAAATATAGTGACAACAATGGTTTA